CCATTTTTTCACGAATCTCGAGTCCTGATTTTTAATCTTTGTCATCCATATGAGTAAGGTACTCTGTCATAAGGCAGATGATCTCGATCCCGAAAACTTTAGGTATTCAATTTTATACATATCACTAATTCCTTTTAAGACAAGAACAAGATAAATGTCAAATTACTTGTAGAAAAGAACATTGCATCATTAACATGAATTGATACAATTTTTAGAATGAATAGTGCTTGGTGACTTTGGTGTATATATTTCCTTTTATACACCTTTGTGTACACCTTATATACGGTCGACTTTTACCATTTACTTTACCATCCTTTCCTCCCTCTCCATTCATACGTTTCTCTTATCTCCTTTCCTCTTTTTTTCTTTCTTCCACCATCATCATCCTATCTTCACATCTTCATATCCAATATCTTTCATCTTCATCATTTCCATCTTGTTTATCTTCTTTTTTCATTAGCTTACATCTTCAACATATCATCTTGTGTCATCTTTCATCACAACTACTTCATCATCACTGGAGTGGCAGTCACCGAAAATGCCACCAAATAAATAACTGGAGTCATCGAAAATGATACAATTTATCTATAAAGAAAAACGAAAGTGAAGAACTTATAACATTTTGTAAAATTTTAGCCAAGACAAAAAATATATGCGTACATACACCGGTTTTCTTTTAGTTCTATGTACATCACAAAAAAAATCTTGCAAAGTAGTCAAGGTTAGATCGTACATAAACCAATATCTATGTATAGGCACAACCATTTTATATGTATATGGACAATTAATGTCTGTGTATAGACATTAGTTTGCGGGTAAATCACGCTAACTTGCATTCTTTTTTTCAGAAATGTTAGGGTTAGGCTGCACATTAACTAATGTATGTGTACACAGACATTAGTTGTCACTATACTGATAAAGGGTGTATATATGCATAAATTTTTTGTTTGTGTACACATGCATTGATTTCGTGCAATCTAACCCTGACTTCTCTGCAATATTTTTGCGTGTACACATATTTTCAAAGAAAACTAGTGTCTGTATACAAATGTTTTTACTTAATGTTACTATTTTTTTGATTTCATATTTATTTATAGATTAATTATATGATTATTTAGCATGATACAAACAATATTTTATAGATCATACAGAAAAAATTCATTGTTATTTTATTTTCTAACAACTTTTTGGTGACTCTCAAACTTAATATGTTTATCCAATTTCAGAAGATGATAATAGTGAAGATGGTGATGGTGAAGAAGAGTTATGGGTTAAAGGGAAAAAGAAAGATACTTCTATGGAAAGATAAGTGAAGGGAAGAAGATGAAGATGAAAATGAAAGAAATGTGAAAGGGGAATGAACAAAGAAGAAAGAGAAAGGAGTTAAAGCTTTCCTATGATAGAGAGGAGAGGGAGGAGGTAAAAATTATTTGAACCCTTATATAGGATGTACACAAAGGTGAACACAAGAGTGTACACCTAGTATTATTGATTTTGTTTTTGAAAGGCCTCACATTATTGATTTAGAAACTTCAAACACATGAAATAGCATCAGCAGCTACCGTATATGATGAATGTTTCAATAAAGATCAAAATGAAGAAAAACACAATTAGTGGGAATAGAATGTAGCCCATATCAACAATTAACCAGCTAGCAATACTTAATTAACCAGCTTGTCATACTTAGGCTTCTTATCAAATATCAACAAAATAATAAAATAATTATTTCATTTACTTAATGACCCATACCAATTTTGTAAAACAACTCTTGTTTAAGAGAAAAAACAAAGATCAGTCTTATTATCAAATGGGGAGATTGATACGGAGTAATTTAATACAGGACAGGTGCACTTTTTAACGTGTAGGGGCCGAGCATCATCGTATAGGTAAGACATGACGTTTTTATATCAAATGAAATGGAAATACGGAAGTGAGTTACTTGAGCCCAAAGTATTTCATGGCTTTGTTTCGGGCCTGGGTTCGGTCTGGTTACCGCGTGAACTTGACCTGATGAAACGCCCTTCTCAAATGCCACTCTTTTACCGTTGACTCGTATAAATGTTGGTTTTTATTTTTAACTTTGGGTACTTTTTTGAATGGAAAATGATCATATATTGACAGTAAGCTAGGAGACTAGGAGTCAATACTTACTATCATTAAAATTTTAATATAATCACCAGCATATATTCTATGATTAGTGCGGATCCAATGATAACATTTTGAATGTTCAAATATTGTGGAATATATTTTTTTTGGACATAGGAATAAATTTTTATTCCACAATTCAACTAATCTAACCCTTTGATCAACAAAAGCTAGGAGATAGAATTAAAAATATGAAATACTATAGAAAAGAACTACCTACAAATTATTCCATCAAAATATATGCATTTGTTTTAGCATTTTTTGAATTTTGGAGTTGACATGAAGACCCTTTGAATAGGGTGAATTGATATGAGTTTTTCCTCAATATTATTAAACTAAAGTCAATTTTCAAAAATGTGACTAAAATAAAGTGACAATCAAATATTAATATCATTGTCTCATTTTCATGTCACTTTCAGATGCCATTGGCCTCATCGCCATGTCACTATCGTCGTTGTCACCGTCGGTCACAGCCGCTATCTTCGCCCGGCATCATCGCCGACCATCGTGACACTGGTCACAGTGACACTGATCAAAGTGATACCGGCACGACCGGTTAGTACCATAGATCACAGTTTTCAACCAAACCTGCCCGCTGCCCAGACATCAACTCGTACACACCCTGCCCTTCCAAAGCCCCATGTCCCAACACCCTAACCACCAAACACCCCTCCCCTGTCCATAGCCCATCTTTGACCAGACCCGATCATGCCCAGATCATACCCCAACAGCCCCTGTCTAGCCCAGAACAACCCTTATTTAGCCCAGAACAAACCCTAAACGCCCCGACGTAGCCCCGATCAACTTCGATCTAGCCCAGAACAGACCCCCAACAACCCCGATATAGCCATGTCCCCAACTCTTGCACACATCCACCGACGGTGGAGCAACACAACGAAATCGCCGCTTCCTCAAAGGCCTAGTCGCCGTCCTAACCTTTTTGCACAGCCGCTGACCCTCAACCGGAAAATTTAGATATCGATGCGAAGAAAACGATCTGTGAGCTCCATATCTAAATCTTCATCTCCGGTTGGGCTTTTTATGTCGAGAGTGTAGCGAATGTTTGCGGACAGAAGAAAGGAGAAGAAGAAGATCAAAGGATTGCAACTGACGATGGCGACAAAGATCGGACCAGGCGGCGGAGAAAGGAGCGGCAGAGGTAAGGGGTCATCGTCAATCGCAGAGTCACAACCGTTGTCGTCGGACGTCGTCGCCATTCACCGAAGTTGAAGCGCTAGTTTGGAAACCGTAGTGACCTTCCTTGTGCGTGAGCTTTGGTTCAAACGGAAGAGGAAGACCCCAGGGGCTCGTGCGGAGAAGGAGAAATGAAGAAATGGAAGAGAAGCATAAGATTTTTTAGAAGAAGAAGCGGAAGGTCAAACATTTTTTGTCAAAACATAATTCAATCATATTTTTATATAATAAAAGCTGAGAGGAAATATTTGTGTCATTCTTTTGAATTGATATTCTCACGGCCTATTGATTATATTGATTTCAATCTCAAAACAAACTATTCTCTCAATCTTTTAAAACTTTGTTAAAATTGAACGACAAATAGAATAACGAAGTAAACACTGTGTAGTTGAAGTTTGTGCACAAATTCTAGTTGAAAAAAATGACAAAATCAGTGAGATAACCAGAAAAAACTAGTTGACAAAATTATAAGGAACATAAAGTATGCATGGACCCGGGCCTAGGCCCAGTCGGGTTTTTGAGGAATGGAGGAAGGCCCGGAGTCGGGCCGGGCCTCGGTCTACCTAGTTTTTTTTGGCTTTTCTACTTAACCCCCGACCCCCTTGTCACCCCCCCAAAACACCCAGCCCCAACCCAGAATAAACAAAATAAAATTGAAAAAAAAAAGAAGTTCGGAACCGGTCCTGGCCGGTTCGTCTTTTGGGTGACCCAAGCCCATACCGTAAAGACCCCGGGCCGGGCATACCCAGATCAGTCCCTGGCAAGGCCACCGGTTCAAGTCGGTTCCAAACAGTGCCGGGCCGGGCCGGTTTAGGGTCGGGCTACCCGGCCTGAGTCCATGCCTAACAGAAAGGAATATATAACACCAACTCAAATTACACTATCAAATTTAAACATATCAAACCAATGATGGATAAACTTATACAAAACATAACACATCGAAGTAACCAAATCAAGCATACAAAACTAAACTTTCCCTTAACAAAACAGATCAATAGAAACTTAGACAAAGAGTAATTTATAGTAGCCCAAATCAAATCCTATCAAATGACATAAAACCAATTCATGCCCATATACACCAAACCTAAGAAATCCAACATGAATGAGTAGTTCATCCTTTATGCACATAATATATACACATTTTGTACACGGGCAATTGGGAGACAAATGTTGCTTCTTTCTTAATGAGTTGTCTATGTTCACAGGCAATTAGGACAATTAGGGGTTGTACACAAAAAGTGTACAAAATTTGTGTACTAATAGAATTTTCCCTCTCATCAATGGCAAAACAAACTTACATTTTATAAAAAAGATTCTTTAACAGGGAATAATATCATTTCTCTCTCTTAAACAACTTTTATTAAACAATTCTCACTTTAATTTGAGTTATTTATGGGGCTAAAAGAGTATTTGAAGGAATATTGTGTGTAAACGACAGCCTTTTTTCTATGTTAACATTAAAGGTTGTTTAAAATTTAAAAAACAATAAAGGAAAACTTTTAACTTTGTAATCTTTTGAGTTTTCCCTAAAAAAATAAAAGGGTTTTGCCCCTTTTTATGTGATAACTTTAAAAGCCCTAAAACGAGAATTTACGGAATAGCGAGTAAATAAAATTACCCAATTCCTACCCCTTCCACAAGCCATTTGCAGTGCGCAATACAAATACCTCACGCCTCCATTCCTGAACTTTCCCATACCCAAAAATCACCTACTTTCCCTCTCTTAATAGAAAAGACTCCCCCTTTCTACTAGAAAACCCTTTCAAACTGGCGATCGACAATCAAGAGACCGCCGTCAAGGAAATCAAGCTCGCCAGGAGCAGCAGAAACATCATGGTAAGCTATTTAATTTCATCACAATGTGATTGATTCTTCAATGGCCCTACTCTACTGTTCAAATGTGTTCTAATGGTTGGTTCTTTGACAGGAGGGAGGCGTTGATGATGATGACAAGAGATGGCCGCCATGGCTAAAGCCTATGCTGAAAGAACGGTTCTTCGTCCAATGTGAACTCCACCACGATTCCCACAAGTCGGAATGCAATATGTACTGCCTGGACTGCTTCTATGCCGGCGCTCTCTGTTCTCTCTGTCTAGCTGATCATACCCACCACCGTTCGATTCAGGTAGAGTTTCTTCTTCCACGAGTTTCTGTTTTGGTTAAATCTGGGTGTTTTTGGTGTCTTTTGTAATGGGGGGATTTGGAATGCGCAGATAAGGAGATCTTCGTACCACGATGTGATCAGAGTGAATGAGATTCAGAAGTATTTGGACATCTCTGCAGTGCAGACATACATTATAAACAGCGCAAAGGTTGTTTTCCTGAATGAGCGGCCTCAGCCCAGTAGCAGGCCTGGAAAGGGGGTCAGCCATACCTGCGATGTATGCGAACGCAGTCTTCCAGATTCGTTCAGTTTCTGCTCTCTGGCCTGCAAGGTAAACCCAACCCAATCCGATTCCCAGATTTGGGACCCAAATTTGAAATTCCAAGAACTGTTCTTTTGATTTCTTTTGATTTCTTTTGATTTCTTTTGATTTAGTGTCAGCATTTTGATGAAATTCGATGGTTTCAGATTGTTGGGTCGTCGAGGGATTTCGTGAAGAAGGCGAAGCGTTTGCCGGAGAAGACGAAGAAGAAGTCGGCGTCGGACTCCGACGTTGACTCCGACGACCGCGGCGTTTACCACGGTCGGCAGCACTGTAGAAACGTCCAGAGCTTCACGCCGTCAACGCCGCCCCCAACTTCCGTGAACTGTAATTACAGAAATGCCAAGCGCAGAAAGGGAATTCCTCATCGAGCCCCAATGGGCGGACTCATCGTGGTAGAGTACTAGCCATGTTTTTGCTCATATGCCCCTGTTCTTCTCTTAATTTCGCTTAAGCACCTACATTATAATTATCACTCCACCGCCCCAGTTCTTGGGAATTTCTACAACTTCCCAACTTCTTGAGGAGCATGTTGTAAATACTAGCTACAAATGGGAAACCTTGAAAGTTTTTGTTACGTTTGGAAATACATATGTATAAAATATCTAGGGTAGAATCTGGAATAAGGATTTATAGGGGGGCAAAAAGTAATGTGATAAGGTAGGTGGGCTTTTAAGAAAATATTAGGTGTTCTGTTTCATGGAAATGAAAATAATGCTCTTCCCTATATTTGATCCATATTGCAAGTTGATAATAATGACATATGAAGATAATGGAGTGGTTATTGACACATGTATGATGTATCAGCTATCTTATAGTCTGTATGGAAAAATGTATATACCCACTTTGTGAGTTTTATAAAACACAATAATGGAATGGCCATATTAGTTCTTATTTCATTTTCTATCTCTTATTTAATTCTCTTCCTTTTATTAAGCCTATGAAGTTCAATGATACAAGTTTTCCTTGTAATGGTGATGTGTATTGTTTCAACTTTCAACAGGACTCTCTCATGCACCGTTTGTGTTGCCAACTTATTTCTGCCAACACGGACTTTAATTGCACAATCTTTTTTCTTAATTATTTTATTAATTATGCTTAATAAATTATTTTTTGTTTTTCTTATCTTTTGCCTTTCTTATTCTCCTGCCTTGTTTTCTCCGAGTAAAATGTCGATTCATATTTTATACTATTAATGTTCTTACATTATGGGTTTGGTTTGAATTAGTTGGGTACATGTTTCGTCTTTTCGTATTTTATAACTATGAAAGTCTGGTCTTTTAAAAAAAGAAAAAAAATATGAAAGTCTGGTTTGGATTGTTTAAGTCTGATATGTTTAAGTGTGGTCTAGTCTGAGATTGAAACAGTTCAAGTAAAAACATTTTGTTATATAAGCTTAACAAAATATTAAGGACATATGAAATAATCATGTTGACTTTAGAGAACGCATCAGCATGTTTGTGGGCATTTTAAAAAGTGATTATTCTTCCATTTTAGACGATTGAAGAATTTACACAGCTCATCAAAAAAGAAAGTGAGGACCCCCTCCTATAATAAAAGATTAGTGAATCTACATGGCTTATCACTATGAAAGACATTGTCCAAATAATTCTGTTTTTGATGCCATATATTTCATATCACTTCATAGCAAAGTTTATTCACATTTTGATTAGAAAAACTTACCAAAAACTCGTAAGTTGTGGATTTTTGAAAGAAAAAAGGGGAAAAGGTGCAAATAGGCTTATGTACTAACAAAAAAAGTCAAATAAACCCTTATTTAGGAGACTCTGTCCGGCCGCTGTCATTTGGGGTGGTTCCCGGTGGAATTTTTTGATGGAATTTTTTGAGCATCTTATTCATCATGTCTAGTTTACTCATACCAAACTTCAGCTAAAACTTCAATCAGGAATGCATTCAAATGAATTCTTGAAGATAACTGCGCTTCTAACTGCGCAGTTATTTTCAAGAATTCATTTGAATGTCTTCCCCATTTAAGTTTTAGCTGAAATTTGGTATGAGTAAACTAGACTTATTGAATAAGATGCTCAAAATATTTCATCAAAAAATTCCAACGGGAACCACCCCAAATGGCGACGGCCGGACAGAGCCTCCCAAATAAGAGTTTATTTGACCTTTTTTTGTTAGTACATGAGCCCTTTTTTGGTTAGTATATGGGCCTATTTGTACCTTTTCCCAAGAAAAAAGCCGTTTGCACAAGTTTTCTATGAAGGATTCATACAATGTCTTAAAATCTTGGATTAAAGAATATAGAACTTATGAAAATTTTATATACAATGTGACACAGACAAAATGTAAAATTTAAATGTGTACTCCAAAAATAGATGTTGCATAAAAACAATCACACGTATACAATATATTAATCCATGATTCTATAAGAAAATTAAAAAATGAATATGGCATGATGGCAGATTTTATGGTAAATCATATTTTATGGTAAATCACCAAACTTTAAGTCAATAATCGTTAGCTTATAACAGTACTAGGCGGAAAGTCAAAATTAATTATTTAATTGGACATAAAAATAATCGTTCTTGCTCGGACGTGAGCCGTTTAATTTACTGATCTTTTGCACCAAATAATTGACATATTGGCATTTTCCCTCAATAAGGTCTTGTTATCCACAATAATCATTCCCATTTGTGAATCATCTGACTCATGCTATTCATGCTCTTACAAATTTTTTCATGCTATTCCAATTTTGTTTTTGTTTTCTTGTATGGAATGTAGTATGTAAATTATTTTTATAAATACTCAAACAAAACAATTAATTATTTTTGGTAACGGTGTCAAAGTGGAGGCACAAAATATATAATTATATGAACGAACGTTCATTCAGTTATATTTAATCAACGCCCTAATATTGCTTATATATTTTTTTGATTTTTGTCCACACCAAGCTTTCTGGAGTCCTCCACTCTTTTCCATATGTTTGTCACTGTTCAATTTACAAAGCCCACGGTAACATGAATATGATAATAATCGATAGAAATTTTAGAAATAAAAAGATACATAAAGACAAAAAGATAGAAGTGCTTGGAACTGATTCTGATTCTAATTCTTTTTTTAAAATCACAAAATCAGAATTAGTTTTTCAGAAGCTGATCTCTCCAAACTTCTAAAAAACTACTTCTGCGAGTAATTTGGAGCATCCAAAAGTACTTCTTCATTCTCACTCAAACACTCTAACATTGGTTTAAAAAGCATAAACAATTTTATGAATCAAATCTAAATACGCAATTATAGATACACATGTGAATAACTCTTGGTTTCTTTTGTCAACTCTTTATTTCCACTCATAAATGAAAATGTGAAACAATCTAGCAAACTTAAGAAGGTCAGTAATGGTGATTTTTTTTTTTTTTGCAAAACTTTAGAGAGTAATTGTTGCTTCTGGAAGTGTTGACCAGTTACGGAGGTTACCAGGAATCGGGAACGGGGTGGGGCCAGGCGCGGTAGAGGTTAGCCAGACGTCGCCGTCCATCCCACGTGGGTGGTTTGGATTGGCTCTTTAAAAGCAAAGTGTCTCGATTCATGTATCCGTAAACTAGGGTTAGCCGCCTCGGGAAATAATGCACTACATTTTTACTTGGTGGAGGCCTCTTCTTTTTGGTTAGTGGGGTTTTGGGGCGATTTCCACCGCACGATTGCTATCCAACGGCGCTAGTTGATGCTTTAATGGACTCGTGTCCCTTGAGTGGGTTGACTAACGGAGAAGGAGACGGGGGGTCGCCGTCTCTTGTTTTTCTAGGAGCATCCACATGACCCCATCCTCTTTTTTTGATAAGATCAAATTAATTAAATGTTTTGAATTAAAATGTTTTTACTTTAACTCCAATTTCTTGGTCCGGTCTATTTAAGTCTGGTCTTGTTTTTTCTGGTCCGTTTGAGTTTGGTCTAATCTGATCTGGTCTGATTTGATAAACGTCTGGTCTCTGTGTATTTTATAATTACGGAAATCAAGTATGATATAATCTTATTTGTTCAAATCTGGTCTGATTGGATCTGTTTAAATATGATCTGGTTTGGTTTAAAACACAAAAATACTCGTATAACTTACAATCCGTAGAATCATAGGTAAATACATGAGCATTAAATGCAATGTACGAAGTAAGACTCATCTTAAGCATGTGAAAAAGTTGGAAAAGTTATACGAGCATCATCATCCGTCCACATTATCTTAGACGTGTGAAAAAGTGGGAAAAGTTCCCCAATACTACCTCCGCCCCCTATGAAGCACGGATACTTCCCTAGGGTAGCGTATCGGCGTATCGGATACGTTCCTGTATCCGATACTCTAGGATACCCGTACCGTACGTTCCCGGGCCGTATCTGCAATTTTTAAAAGTTTCCATTTTTTTTTGTAATTTTTTGAAAGTTTCCGATACTCGTATCCTGACGGATACCCGTATCAACTTTTTTAAAAAATCCCAAAATTTACTTAATAAAATTCTAAAAAAAAATGAAAACCTAAAATTACATTTTACTTGGTAATCAAATAATGGGCCTATATGACTATATCCGAATTAAGTCATTAACTCATACTTCGAAGTAGGTACTTGCACTTTTAATTTCAAGATTGTAGTTGTTTGACTTATTTCTCATTTTAAATTAATGACTTATTGACTACATTTGTATTTCGAGATGCACTAGTGTACATGGGAAATATTATGAATTTATTACTAAATATCTTGAAAAAGGAAAATGCTTCAATGCAATGAATGGGTAGACATCATAGGATATTATATGTATATATATATGTGTATATATATATATTTTCAAAAAAAATCTATTTTTAATATTTATAAATAGACCCCTATAACTTTTAATATTTGCAAATACACCCCCATAACTTTTAATATTTATAAATATGGCCCCGTATCCGTATCCTACTTTTTTTGGTTTTGACGTATCCCGTACCCGTTTCCGCGTTTCCACGTTTCCGCGTACCGGTATCGGTGCTACATAGGCCCCTAATACAACTTCCAAATGGATTGAGCACACAATTTAAAATAGTCGGTATTGTGTGGTGGAGAGTTATGCAGAGAAAAGAGAAATGTGTAAGAAATGTTGTGAACCACAAATTATTTACCAAAGAGGGAAAGTGAAAGTTTTAATTGGGACTGATGAAAAAGGAAAGTTGGAAGTTTATTTAGGGATGAAGGGAGTATCATTTTTTGTCCAAGTTGTTTTGTTGAGCCGTCCACAAAAGCAATTTGACATATTCTCATTGGAAAAGTATATTGAAAAATTATTGTTATTTCTATTGTTGGATTATAATTAATGATTATGAGTTCGATTTTGTATTTTAAAGTCAATTACTAGACGACGAAACCAACTAATATAATGCAATTGTGTTCATTTAGATAGTGTCCTTCCTCGTCTTCCAATAAACTCTTGATCTTTTTAATTGGATTGTAAATTTAGACGACGAAATGATCCCGTCTGATCAAGGTTTTGCTCAGGCACAAAGATAACCAATTCTCTATTGCACTCACTCTACAACTAAGGATGGTATTAATTGTCTAGTTTGTTTAAATATAGTATGGACGGTCTGAACTGGTTTGATAAATGTCTAATCTTTAGTTATTTTATAATTATCAAAGTCTGATTTGATCAGTTTGAATCCGATCTAGCCGATTATAGTCTGGTTTGATCTGTGACTGAATACAGTCAAATAAAAACATCTTAAGATTCCTTGTACAAGAGTGTACGCGAATTTTGTATCAGAAATGCTTCGTGTACACAGGTTGTACACAACATGTATACAAATCTCGTTCACATACAATTGGTGTGCTAGCACATGGGAGCTGTCCGTGAGCACAAACAAGAATTATTTGTGCTCAAATTACTCTTGTTCCACATACATTAATTTG